AGAAAAATATATAAATATCTTTATATAGTGCATATTCTCTTGTTGAGCCGAAACCATCAAGGCGGCTCGGGTTTTAGAGCGTGGAGGATACCGACGACTCTAGTAGCCGTCGGATAAAAGATACGGGCAAGTTTTCGCTTCCGCTACATAAGGTTAGTCCTATATATATTTATATATGTGTTATATAAAACCACTAACATCGAGAATCGAGTTATTGCTGAATTTTTTGAGTAATTTGGAGTCTCAATATAAATTCCCGAGTAGTCGTTGAATTACTATTTGTATATGAATTTTCATTAGATGTGTAGTCGTTCTGTTTTTCGAAAATTTCTGATTTTTATAAAATTTCGATCAGGAAAATTATTGTTTTAGTTAATGGTCGAAACCCATGCGAAATCGCTGTTGAAAATCCGTCGTCGGAATGAATTTTTTTTTAGCCGAACAGTGTTTCTGCTCCTGCCCTGTTCGTTTTGTTTCTGTTTAAATTCTTCCAGGACTATGTCTTTATTAGCCATAACTTCATTTTAAAATCAACAATCACTCAGTTGGTCTAGTGGCGATCTGGGCACAGTTCCAAGCGCGAGGTTCTGAGTTCGATCCTCCCCCCTGTAGCCTTTTTAATTTTTCACCCAACCCATGTGTTCCTAAGGCGCGCGGGCCGCTTGGCCCGTTTTCAGCCCGCCCGCGGCCCGCTCCCTCACCAAGCACTCGGCCTTCGAGCCCGGTGTCCAGCCCGCGCCTCCCCATCACTCCCCTCGGCCCGCGAGTCCGCAGAAGCCCGCGTCCCGGCCCGCGTGACTTTCAGCCTTCTAGCCCAATTGTATTGAGTGCTAGGCCAATCCCATTGATATATTTTGGGCCCATTTTCGCGGCAGAGCTTTTCCAGCGCTGCCCAGTTGACCTTTTTGGTTTATTTTGAGTTCCGGAAGCCGTTTTTAATACCGATTTCAGTTTTAAAAATATTTTTAAAATGATAAAAATTTGGAGAAAATTATTTTAAGTCCCGAGATTCCATTTTTGTTCCCCAATCTTCTCTTTTTTAAAAAAAAAAATGTGAGAGTTCCAAGTCCACGAAAAATTCGATAAAATCCTTTAAGCCTTAATTTTGATTAAGTGTGGGTTTTATGTTAAATTCGAGTAGTGAGATAGATTATTGATATATTATCTCACTTAATTGTAGGTGTTTGAGGAGTCGAGCCCTCGACCTACTTATCTCCTATTTCAGTGTGATATCCTACCTCGATTTCCAGGTGGATTGTTATTCTAAAATTACCTGTGCAATGTGTGTTTAAATATGTGTTTCCGTTTTGGCGTGATCTATGTATGAACGCGAATATGTAGCCTATCGATGTGAGCTATTATGATGGCCATCGTTACGGTTGTCCCCGTCGATGTAATACGGTTGCCTTATGAGGCAAGTCTCCGTAAAGACCTATTATGAAAGGCCGTGTCCTTGCGTGGCACGTACTCTCGCCGTTAGGGTAATGAATCCCCTTTCCGCAACTATTATGAAAGATGTGCACAGGAGTATTTATGTTATGATGGAGATGTGACATATGTGTATTGTTTGTGTTCATGCTGCGACCATGTCAATTTGACATATTATGAAATGTGCATTGCATAGTGTGAGTACGATATTTAACTGTACTCACTCCCACCTGCTCGTAACTGATGCAGGTTAAGCAGCGGCGCGTGACGAGACTGGGCGAGTGGTGGTCTTGCCTTTTATTATTATTTATTTATTTGCTTCCGCTCATTTTATGAACTCATGTTAGATTGACTCCATTGCTTATGTTGCTTATTTGGAATAAGTTGGATTGCGTATTGAAACTCGTTTATTTTGAAAACATTGGATTTGGTTTATGTTGAAAACCCTACTTGATATATAATTGAGTATGATCTGATGTTAAATTTATCGTTTATTGTGGTTAATGAAAACCGTTGGAAAATCGGGTAATGAATCCCCGTAGTTCAGTTATGACTTGAACTGTGATTTTGAAAAGAATGAGTAACGCCAAAGTTTATGATCCGAAAGATAAGTTTCGAAAATTTTATCTTGATTTTTTGAAAAGCCATGGATTTTCTTTAAAAATTGATTGGGGCGTTACACATGTTGCACGAAGTAAAGTATTATCTCTCCAAAAATTATGAAATAAAGGATATGGATGAAACGTCCTTGGTAATTGAAATAGAAATATTCTGGAATAGATCACAAGGACTAAAAGTTTATCCCATAAAAGTTTTATTCGAGAGTTTTGGAGATATTTACAATAGATGGTTATTCCGTATAATTCCAATTCATAAAAGGGGTACATTTAGTCTAAATAAATGTCCGAAAGGTGAAATGGAATGAAAAGTGATGGAGGAAATTTTTTAGATATAAATGATTAGGAGTCTTAAGTGAGACAAACCTGTACTAGGTTTGATGACATATTTGTTGCTGGTATGTTAAGCAAATATAATAGTAATCCCTAAACGATTATTTAAATGCTGCAAAGAAATTTCTAAAGTATCTACAAGGCATTAAAGAACACATGTTAACTTAAAGAGGATCCAAATTATTTGTTATAATTGGATACTTGGATTCAGACTTTTGCTCATAATGTCTAAAGGAGCAAGATTATGAAAAAGTGGAACAAAGTCCATCATCGTGACTTCCACGATTAAGTTTGAGTTTGTGGCATGCTTTGAGGCCACAAGTCAAAATTTAGGGCTACGATGCTTTATCTTAGGGCTTGGAAATGTCGACATCTTGTCCAAGCCGCTAAGAAATTAACGTGGTTTTGTAGCAATAATATTTCAAGGAATGACAAGTATTCAAAGGGTGTAAATCACATAAAATTGAAATACTTGGTCGTAAAATATAAGTGAAGAAAAATAAAGTGTCATTTGAGCATTTTAGTACTATTGCATGAAAGCGGATCCATTAAAAGGGTTATTCCCTATAGCCTTTGAAAGGCATATAAAGAAAGTTGGGAATAACGAATGGGGCCTTGTTGGACTGACTGATACAGAATGAAATTGCTCAATTAATGATTTGACACTTATTGAATTTGATTAAAGATGTTTAATTCTTCACATACAATATCATCATTATGGATAGTTGATTTTATAGTATATACATAAAAGTTGGATGACTTATGGTTATGGTACGAATAGTTTGTTCCTTATTAAAGTAAAATTGAATTAGAAATGATTTGTGGTACATGGAAGGGATCATGTTGCTCGAAGACTTGTGACCGCGATGACTCGGTTAATTTCTATTTTGACTTTAAACTTATAGATATATGTATTCAATCATAAGTTTGATGAAAGGTGCGCTTAAAGTAGTTCTTTGGGTTTCGACATATATGGTCCAAGTGGGAGAATGTAATAATATTTTATATTATTCTATTATTGTGGACCATATAATTAATTGAACCTAATTGAATTAATAGTCAAACATAATTAAGGTGAATATGTATTTAATGGATTATTAATGTTCTAATATTAAAGAGTCCAATTTGTGATGTTTGACTTGGACATTAAGTTAGGTTAGAACATGGGGAATGTTAGTAGGATTAAGATTGTAAGTCTTCTCCTATATATACTACATGCCCCTCTCTCCCATCTCATACGAAATAAAGTTCTCAACATCAAGGACTTTATGGAAAGACGAGAGACGCGGGAGAGAGAAACAATTCATATTCATAGGCAAAGACAGATCCATCATCCATCATTGGAGAGAGAAACAATTCATATTCATAGGCAAAGACAGATCCATCATCTATCATTGGAGATTATGAGGAAGAGGATCACAGAACAACATCATAGATCAAGAAAACAGGGAAGGACTATAAGCTGGATTCTTGTAAGTTTTATGTGCAATTTAATTTATGCAAAGATCCATATTCTATGAACTGATAGAATTACATGCTTAGGGTTTATTCAATTCCGCCTGATAGTTATGAGTATGCCCGTTAAATTTCTTACAAGATGAGCATGCATGAAATTAATACTCATCAAATTTTGATTATTCTAATTATATAGTGATTAACAGAAATATAAAAACCATAAAATTAATCTACAGATGCGCAAAGTGGTCGAGCATACTACGACTTTTATGAGGGAAATTTATCCGCGAACAAGGCATCCAATATCCAGAATGAATGTCGGCAACTGTTGAATTTTCTTGAAAACCATCGTTTTGAAGTCCTGAATATTGATTAGTAGTTATATCCAAAAATTGCTTGCTCTGTTATGCATTCACAAGCTATATAACATAAGTTATTACTTATTAGTATTAAGTCATTAATTATTAGTATCAAGTTATTAATATTAGTATTAAGTTATTAAATATTAACATTAATTATTATTATTATTTTTAAATTCCTTATCGGTTCGGTTCGGTAAAACCGAACTTCTATGGTTTTGGAAACGATACCGTACCGATAACATATCGTTAACCGATAATTGGTTACCATTTTAAATGGGTCGTTTCGGTTTGATTTTTTTTTTCTCGTCGGTTCGGTTTGAGCCATTTTTTGTGTTTTTTTACCATTGGTTCTCTTGGATTTTATCTCTAGCCTACCCCAACTTGCTTGGGACTAAAAGACTATGTTGTTGTTGTTGTTGTTGTTGGTTTGGTTTGATTCGGTTCGATTTTCTGTCTAAAAATACCAGCCCTAACTACAATATCATCTATCGTTTGAAAAAATAAAAATAAAAACCAAAGTCGGTCACTGTAATAGTCTCCCCCTCATCTCCGGATGTCCTATCTTCACAGGGTTCTTCTATTCTGATTACAGTCGTTATAAGTCCTTGTTTACACGTTGCATCTTTTTGTTTCTATTTCCACTCAGAACGAACCCCATCAGTCCGATTTATCTGTCTCCAGATCTCGACCAATATCGACACCCCTTTTCAAAAAACTTAATATTTTTCCAAGGGTTTTCAATCGATTTCCGAATTCGGGAAAATTCAGATCTGCTACAATTAGCAGCGAACCCCAACAAAAGAAAATGGGATCTTTTCACAAGCTGCTGATCTGGGCCTTTGTTATCCTCGCCGCGTTTTCCTATCCGGGCCGGAGTTTCTACCTCCCCGGCAGTTACCCCCACAAGTACACCGTCGGCGACTACCTCAACGTCAAGGTCAACTCGTTGACCTCGATCGACACCGAGCTTCCTTACGGCTACTACAGCCTCCCCTTCTGCCGCCCCAAGGAAGGCATCAAGGACAGCGCCGAGAACCTCGGCGAGATCCTCATGGGCGACCGGATCGAGAACTCCCCTTACCGGTTCAAGATGCACACCAACGAGACCGACATCTTCCTTTGCCAGACTAAACCCTTGTCGGCCCACGAGTTCAAGCTCCTGACAAAGAGGATTGACGAGATGTACCAGGTAAACTTAATCCTTGACAACCTCCCCGTTATCCGCTACACTTCAAAGGACGGGTTCACGATGAGGTGGACCGGTTATCCCGTGGGCGTCAAGGTGGACGGTGGCTACTATTCATTCAATCACCTGAAATTCACGGTCCTCGTCAACAAGTACGAGGAATCTGCGTACATGGTTGTAGGGTTCGAGGTTGTCCCCTGCAGCTTCCGGCACGAATCCGGAAGTACCAAGAATCTGGGCATGTACGAAAAATACCCATCTCAGATCACTTGCAATCCCGGCAGCTCAGCCATGGAGATCAAGGAAAGCGAGCCATTAACCTTCTCGTATGAAGTGCTGTTCGAGGAGCGTGACATCAAGTGGCCGTCCAGATGGGACGCATATCTCAAAATGGAAGGCGCCAAAGTGCACTGGTTCTCGATTCTGAATTCTCTCATGGTTATAACATTCCTAGCCGGAATCGTGCTCGTCATCTTCTTGAGGACTGTTAGGCGTGACCTTGCCCGTTATGAAGAGCTCGACAAGGAATCCCAGGCCCAGATGACTGAAGAGCTCTCGGGATGGAAATTAGTAGTAAGTGATGTATTCCGTGCCCCAGAAAACCCTTCCCTCCTCTGTATAATGGTCGGGAGTGGAGTACAGATTCTTGGAATGGCTTCCGTTACAATTCTTTTCGCAGCTTTAGGGTTTATGTCTCCTGCTTCACGCGGGGCCCTCGTGAGCGGCATGCTGTTCTTTTACATGGTTCTTGGGATTGCGGCCGGTTATTCGGCTGTTCGTCTCTGGAGGACGATTTTCGTTGGGGATTATAAGGGATGGGCAGTGCTTTCTTGGAAAGTGTCGTGTTTTTTCCCGGGCATGGCTTTTCTCGTCCTCACGACACTGAATTTTTTACTGTGGGGCAGTGGCAGCACTGGCGCCATTCCCTTTTCTTTATTTGTGATCTTGATTTTTCTCTGGTTTTGCATCTCAGTGCCACTAACTATAGTTGGGGGTTACTTTGGGGCTCGAGCGGCCCACATCGAATATCCTGTCCGTACAAATCAGATTCCGCGTGAAGTCCCGCCTCAAAAGTACCCATCTTGGCTTTTGGTTATTGGGGCCGGGACTGTGCCGTTTGGGACGCTTTTCATCGAGCTTTTCTTTATAATGTCGAGTATTTGGATGGGCCGCGTGTACTACGTTTTCGGGTTCCTCTTGATAGTGATGATGCTTTTGGTGGTGGTTTGTGCTGAGGTGTCGCTTGTTTTGACGTACATGCATCTCTGTGTGGAGGACTGGAGATGGTGGTGGAAGTCGTTCTTTGCGTCGGGATCGGTTGCTATTTATATATTTATTTACTCGGTTAATTACTTGGTTTTTGATCTCAAGAGCTTGAGTGGGCCTGTCTCTGCAACTCTTTATCTCGGGTATTCATTGCTGATGGTGGTGGCCATTATGCTCGCCACTGGTGCGGTTGGGTTTTTGTCGTCGTTTTGGTTTGTGCACTACCTTTTCTCGTCCGTGAAGCTGGATTGATGTATTTTTTGTGGGGTTTGGATGATGATTGAGAGTTATGATGACGGCTTTGTGCTGTAGCTTTCTTGTTATTCTATTAATAGTGAACTTTGGCCTTACGTGAAATTTTGCAGTTTTCCTTGTTAGATACAAGCATTGGGTGGGGTGGGGTGGAATGGGGAGGGTTACGAGTACTTTATTATTTTTGCTTATGCAGATGGTTCTAGACATGGCAAAACTCAAGTTAAGTTTTGGGTCGGAATCGCCAGTTTTGGGCTGGTTCCACCGATTCCTGTCTGGGCCGTTTTTATTTAAAAATAGAAATTGGGGAGGGGGGTGGGACGTGCCCCGTTCGAATATTGAGAGTCGACTTTATTTTTTAATTCTTGTGTTGCATTGCATTTATTTTATTTTCGTTGCTCGACAAATTCTTTAATAAGCTTATTATAATCATTGAGACGTTCTCGTCTTTTTAACCGTTTTTGCTCCTTGATTATGTAGCCATTTCACCAATTCCCACAATTTTTATTTTTTTCGAAACGAAGAATTCTTCCTATTTTAAATATTTGTCATCTTGGCTATCAACACACTAATTAAGAAATATTTTTCTTTCCAAGTTTACTCTATTTAATGACACAATTGTGGATGGATGTTTTTGAGAATATGAAGAGATAATGGGTATTGATGGAGGGGTTAAAAGGGAAAAATATGAACAAAATAGCCAAAACGATATTTATTTGACAAATGATCAATAAGCTAGAATGACAAATATTAAAAATAGGAGGGAGTATAAAATAAAGAAGGAAACAGAGTTAGCATATTACATGACCACTGCCAATCAAAATAGAAAGATAAACTAACTGCCAAATTTCCTCTAACTGCAACTAACTGAACTAAACTTCTAACTGGAGAAATGGAGAGCCAACCAAGTTAATGAAGAGACTAATGGCACAACCATTGGGCAATATAAGATACTGGAGTCCTGGGACAGAAAAAATAGCATCCTAGCCACACTTTTAATTCAAGGCTTTTTAACCGTGTTTGGCAAGTAAAAATCAGATTTAATTTATTCTTTTTGTAACACCAAAAGACCCCCTCATTTCGGTCTTGATTAGAGATGTTAGAGGGCTTCGGGCAAAACGGTCCGGGCCTAAAAAGTCCGAATTTAAACGGGCTACCAGTAAAAGGACCAAACCCTAACCCTGGCGGGTTTCAGGCTAAACGAGCTATACGGGCTGTAATAATAATAATAATAAAAATAAAAAATTACAACATTTAGTTAATGATTTTTTTTAACGGCTATTTAGTATTTACCAATATATATATACAACTACACTTCATATATGAATACACATTACAAACTCTTAAATAACATATTGTTTCTCAATAGAAAAAAAATGTTCGAAGTATTACTTATAACTACCATTTGACTAGTTATGTGGTACGCTTCGGGAATTTTCATAATATAGCATACTGCTGAATTTATATTCTATCACTATATTCTATATGTTAGGTCTTTGTCTTATTTGTTTTTTATTAGCCTTTATGATTGGCTTAAATATTTTGCTGTGAAATAGAATAAAATTTGTTAATATTATCTATCAAAGTAATAATAATACATTATAACTCATAATTACATGTGAAATAGAATAGCAAAATTGTAATATATAAGGAATCATGAGACATATTCCTTACCTTTCTAAAAACATATACACCACCCAACCCAAGTTAAACGGACCAGCCCTAGCGATTTTCGGGCTAGACCTAATGGGTTTCGGGCTAAACGGTCCGGGCCTAAAAAGCCCGAATTTAAACGGGCTGCCAATAAAATGCCCTAACCTTGTCTTCTTCCGGGATAAACGGGCCGGACCGTCGGACCAAGGACCATTTAACATCTCTAGTCTTGATCAAAACACGATTCTGCTAGCTTTTATATTGAGAATACTCCCATCATTAAATCCCAGATTTCATGTAAAAAAAAAAATCAAATAAAAATCCTCTCCAATCCCACGGCCAAGACTCCATCTCTCTCCTTAAAAATTTTCTTTTTTCTTTTCTTCTCTCTGTCGCCCCTTTCTTTCTCGGCAAAGGCGAGGCAGGCCCAACTAGACCAACAAGTTCCAGGCGACGACCGGCTGAGAGCAAAACAGTCGCGAGCTGAGGCGCCTTTTTCCGAGGTACCGAGTGCAAACGAGCAGTGACCAGGTACATGAACAACCGATGATTGAAGAGTACTCTGGGGTGAAGAGCCACAAGTTGTTTTTCAGTGATCCGAGCACCACCCGAGAGCGAGTTTATTGTGGCCTAGGAAAGCAGCAACCAGAAGCTTGGAGCAACAGTAGACCAGGCCGTTTCCGAAAGTGTGTGGGCGCCCGGGTTGCAGCGAGCCGAATTTTCCTAAGGCCTCGTGTGACCGTGCCGAGCCTTAATCCGCTTTTGCTGCTTGTAGATTCAAGAAATGAGTTATTAATCTCAAGAAATCCTCTTTTGTTGTTTGAATTCTTAGAAAAGGTTAAAATGTGAGAAATAATTTCTTAAGGTTTAGTGAAAAGTCGTTGTGAATTGGAACTCTCATTCATGCCTTATTTTGATGCCTTGTCTTATAAGAAACCAGCCTTAGGCCATGGTGAGGTTCAACCTTTGAATCTTATAAAATTGTGATCTTTGATGCCTTGGAAAAACTTGAGTCTTTGTTGTGGAGAACAAATATTTTGTTGGCCTCGAAACCTTGTGGAAAAACCAAGAAGTTTTGTTGTTTAGCTTGAGCCTTGAAAACCATATGTGTTGGCATTATTTGGAATCATTGGAATTATTGAAATCCTTAAAAATCCTTGTATTGGCTAAACATGAACAGCCTCGGGTCGCACAGCACGACGGACACACTGGCAGGTACCACGGGTCTGACCCTGTGCGTGAATGGTGCCGCGTTGCAGGCGCCGCTCACAAGCGCCGTGCGCAGGCGTGCCGCGTCCACGGACGAGCGGGTCGCTAACGTGCTGCATGCCAGTGCTGCGTCGCAGTGTGCCGCATCACAGGCGCCGAGTCATAGCGGGCCTTACTGCGGGACGCCGGACATCCTCCAAGTATTGCAGCCGACCTGGGTCGCCCCGAGAGGTAGACCCGTAACACATCTCCGAGCAAGCAAGCTCGACCGCGTCCCAGGGATAGGTGTCCAGCAGCCCAAGCGTGCGCGCAACCCACTTGCCATTGAGCCATTTTTTCCAAGCCTTTGAATCGTGTTGAGTCGGACCTCATATTTTAACCTCGAGAACTTTTTTTTTTTAGCTTTAGCCGAGAGTTCCAAAATTAATAAATTTCACTAAGTCAATGACCTTAAGCTAATTAATTTCTCTAAGTGGTAATTCGAGTTACCTTAAGATACTTATAAATGCTATATGCTAAAAAATATAGATTTCGAGTAGTCGAGCCCTCGAGTATATGTGTGAAGCACCTGCATTTTCTCCATCATCCCAACGGAGGTGGGTGTCCCTAATTTACTATGTCTTTATTCTTTCAAATCTCATAATTTTATAATTAATGTATATATGTGAACCATTAGCCTAATGAAAGGCGATCTCCATTTGCCTAATGAAAGGCAATACCTAATGAGAGTTATCTCCCATCGATGGATGTATGCCAGAGGTAAAGGCAATCTCCCGTCGATGGATGTATGCCGATGGTAAAAGTATGTACACATGAGAGTATGAAAAGGACGAAGATGTATATGATGATGATGAGCTGCAATTATATTATCTGTTAAGTAATTGAATTAGTAATTCCCACGGTGGGCTAGTTGTTTGCTCACCCCCATTAATTATCCTTTTCAGGTTGGGTTGCTGGCGACAGTCGCCATGGGACGAGTGTGGTCTTTATTCATGTTATGTGCTTTATTTGCTTCCGTAAAACGTTTCCGAACTTATGTTGTTTTGGATTTATGGATGTTGAACTATGGATATGGTTTGTGTTTCGAGACTATATATGTTTGAGAATTTTATTATGTCTCGAATTATTGAAATGGGATATGTATATTGGGCAATGAGTTCCTAAGAGCTCGAGATGTGATTTGAGCTAAGTAAAAATGAAAGAAAGAATTTTTGAATAATGCCCGAAAAATATTTTAAATCGAAAAATGATTTTTAAAAATTTCAACTATTTCTGAAAACCTAGTGTTTTCAAAGGAAAAATAAACGGACGTTACAGTGCGGTATCAAAGCAGATCTAT